GTTAAAATATGAACATGTACCTTATATTAGAGTAATTAAGATGTTTAGTCAGACACATTTTTAATTATTTTGCATAATCTATTTAGACGCAGCAGCCCCAGCAGATATTTCATTGTAGTTATCATCTCATTGAAAATTAGTGTTTATTTAGGCACATACGCCACAGCAAATGTTTCATTATGGTTATCATTTCATTATAATTAGTATTGATTTAGAATTAGACTTTTAATACAATACTTTACATTTATGCAATATATATAAGATCATCTTATACATTTTGATATTCTTGAATATTTCAAAGCTTTTTTTAAGTAGATAATAAAATTCTTGTAAAGAAATACCTATGTTAAATTACTATATGTATTGTGGGACGTTGGGACAGCGCACTGTCCAACAAGTTACCACACTGAAGTGAAAGATTAACCGAAGTAGACCACGAAATGACTTGGGTCCTTTTTCGTCCTTCGATTATGTTAAATTATTAATATTTAAGGAGATTAAGTGTTCAACTTCATTTTAACTTCTATATATCTGTTATAATTTAGAATACAATAAATTTTATTCGGCTATTTTTAATTCTGCCACACTGTGCGTCATGACAAGATAATCGATGGCATACAAGTGATTTCATTATATGAGCGTTTAACACAAAATTATGGTGAGACTGTTAATAGACTCACGAAAAATGTTTTTATACACAGTTGGCAACATTGAATCTGAACAGAACAATGCTGTTCGGATGTGTACTCATCATTCAGGCACATTAGTGATGAGCTGAAGTGAAGTAAATACGTAGCCGCTACGTAGCGTTTTTTAATCACAAATCAACGTTGAGCTAAATGCTGGTATCGAACTAAAACCTTTATTTCTAATGGTGGTCAAGTGTATGCACACCACTTCTCTGTAGACCAGGATAACGCGAAGTGCAAGCAATCCATGCTCTGACTGCATCCATGTATGGTGCTGCTCTTAGTTGAATGATATTATAGGCACCAACCACAGCAGTTGCTAATTAAAATTTAATGATTATGCACTACGATTTGCCCGTACTGCTGATGGTAAGGCGGCTGGCAAAGAAGCGTGTCTGCAACAGGACGAATGTGCAACTGTTAACAGTTGTTGAGGAACGAAACAGTAATAAAAGCAATAACAAAATCAGAAAAACATTAGTTGTGTGGCATTGAAACGTTTTCCTACTTCACTATAAACGCCTAACTTTTGCACAGCTCTGGTTCTAATACGCATGCAAATGCTGCTGACTTGATGTGATGCTTAAACACAAAGCTAATGCGCCGCATGTGTGTGTGTGTGTTTGTATGTGTGGCTGCTTTGTATGGGCAAACAAAGTTAGTTGCATAAATTCAAGCGCGTCTGCTTTTGGTTTGGTTTTGATTTTGAAATTTGTTGCTTCTTATTAACGTTTTTCTTGTTCTTGTTTTCTCCATTGTTGTGTTTTTGTTAGTAAATTTGTATGTACAATATTTGTTTTTGCTTTCGAATGCTGCTGGCAGAGAAATAAAACAGGCATTAAGTTACGTGTTGGTATTATAAGTTTGCATTTAAGTGCGCGTGTTGCTATATATATATGTATGTGTGTGTTTTGTACTAATACCATCTTTGTGGGTTTACGTTTGCGTTGCCACGTAACGTCATTTCTTTTTTTCTGCTGCGCTTGGTTATTTAAATTTGCATTGGCAACGCGAGTTTTAATGAGTTTCAGTTATTTTGCTTTTGCTAATGCGGTTGTTGTTGTATTTTATATGATTAAGTTAAATAGGATTGAAATTTGATTTTTCGTTTGTAGTTTTACAATTAATGTTTTAATAAACTTTTTGAAATTTAAATATTAAGTAAACTTAATTAGAGAAAAAAGAAGCTAAATTTTAATACACGTGTATATATGGTAAAGTTTTGCATGCACGTAAATTGAAAAATAAATGTATAGGATTTGAGGTTACACCTTTGTAGGGAATTAATCAAGTTTACTTGATAATTAAAATTGCTCAATAAAAAATAATATATTAAAAAAAATGAAATTGAAAACAAAACACAGAGCCTAGCCCAGAGAAATTTCGAAATTCAAATACTAAGCTTTTTATGTTTCACTTACTGATTACTGGTAAGTGATTTAAGCGGGAAGACTTTCACAATCCGATGATTGCGATAACCTTAACTGGTTCTTAAGAGGGTGGTTGTGTGCGCTCAGTTCTTAAACAGCGACTTCCGATGCTTTCCATTTACTAACAAAAAGAAGAACAAAGGGTAAAAATCTTAAAAGTTTTATAATCTGTGTGCAAAGTAACCGGAACTCACAGTTTCAGAAACGCAAAAATTTTTATTCCTACTTGTTATATGAGTTTATAGTACTATATTATGTTACTAAGCGAGATTTGAGTAAGACCTGTTACTCGGTGTAGTCTCCACAAAGGAATGTGCCAAAAATATAGGAATAAAAATAATTTATAAAATATAGGAATTAAAAAAATATGTTGATTTGGTTTATTCAGGTTGGTTTCTAATGGCTAAAAGTGATGATAACATCGAAAACTAAAAAGGCTAATGCTCGTAAATCTTTGTATGAGATTTGAAGAGTTAATGGAAGTATTAGATATATTCTTAAAGTTCATTCAAAATAATATAATATAATATATATTTTGGACATGAAATGCTTTGCCATATGACTTTGAAAGGAAGAGATTAATTGTGTTGAAATAAAGCATCAAAATCACTTTGCTTAAAAAATGATTTGCTTTGACGATCTATTTTAACTCTCACTTTCTCAGTAAGACATAATTTTATTATTTCTTATACTTATATAACACAATTAATTTAATTATAAAATGATTGAATAACTGAAGTCAATAATTTTTGATAGATCGAATACGGCTTAAACAGTATCTGCCGCTCTAATAAGATTTTATACATAAGATGAGGTAAGGCATTATTTTTTCCTCAATAAAAGACAAGTAATTTCTATAATATTGTTTTCGAATTTAACTTTATAGTTAAATTACAACTAAAAAATCAAAATTTTAATTTTGTTGAACTTATATTGTTTATTTTATTACACTGTATCAAAATATTTTAAACTTATTCCTGTTTTATAGTCCATTACTCATTCATCGATCCTTTCTAAATGTTTTTTCTCTTTGAAAAGGTGATTTTTGTTGCTTGACTCAATTATGTGATACCCTATAGATAATTGCGGATTTACCAAACTTTATTGTCCTTTACTGGTGCATCAATAATTTTTGGAGTGGCCTGAGTACATGGTTTCATTGTCTTTTTGATGATTCGTATGATTTAAATTAAATTTATCATAGCCTGTATTGTTGGACTTTTGATCTAACACTATTTAGACCTGTTATCAAATAAGAGATTTGCAAATATGTATCCTAAATTTATTTAATATTTTATTTCTATAATCTTATCATATCTGTGAAATCAAATACTTAAATTATAACAGTAAGAGAAAATATTTTCTTCTCAAATGGATCCTGTTCGTGCACTATATATTTGAGATTTCTACATTTAAGTCTGGTCAATAGATGGTGTCTTCTTCGTGGTATCACAACGGATCATTATTTGTGCTTAAGAGAGTTTTGGTGCACAAGACTTCAAACTAACCTAAAGAGAATTATTAGATTTAGGTATACCAGAGTTTCAGTACTTTACAGATACATATATACCTGTAATATTTTATTTTTAATCAAATTTTTTTTTGGTTGGAGTAGTGTTTGATACTCCCAATCTTAGTAAATATTGTTAACGGATCCACCATTTCATCTTACGATTTTTTTTGTTTACTGGATTAAAGAATCAACTCCCGAAGTTTAAGTTTATCGGTTTGAAGCACCTTTAATATAATTCCTATTACTTCTTTGACTTTATTATTAATATCAGATTAAACTTAACATCCTCTTCACTCACATCAACGCGTATGGCGCAAAAATAATGCTTATAAGATGAATCGGGAAAATGAATGATCATTAACTTTTATTTTTGGAAACTCTATTTGGTTAGTCCTGAATCAAACTATATTTTAGATAATGGTAATTTTAAAGATTTTTATAAATTTTTTACAAGGAATCATCTTTTCGAAAAATTGAGCAAAATGTATTCACTATCTTAACTATATAATACTTAGTTATAAGTTAGCGTCAGAGTTTCGTGAAACATCCATCCATACTCTCACCGATACTTGACGTAAGAGCCGGTTCAATAATATTTTGACAATTAGATTTAGTTTTTTCATCATTTGTCTAAATCTTAAATAATTCTTTTGTTCTATTGCTTTGAATAAAATAATTTATTGAACATTACTTTCAACTTTACTGGACTACATCCAGTTTTGTAAGGAAGTAAGAATCAAAATCTCAACGACCACAAATTTGCCATAGATGTTAAAAAATCAATAAATTTGCTTAGCTGCTTTGTCTATTTATAATTCTCTTACCGCCTTTGTCAACTTATTTTTGGAATGGACAATATTTTATTGATCAAATTTATTGTCAAAACAAAACATTAAATGTTGACAGAAAGAAATAAACAAAAAAAATTACGCCAAACAAGTTCACTGCCAAAGTCAAACCGAGGCGGTCAAATATCGCCGTTGTTTCGCATCTCAACTTGTAGCATCCATCTCTCATCTGCGTCTGCACTCAGCGTTCGCTTCACCGTCTGGAATGTAAACAAATGAATCGGCCGTCGCTCGCAGTGGCGGCATTTGGGCGTCTCTGGCGGCGCATGCGTAACACAATTAACAGCTACCGGTGGAGTTGCGGCAAAGAGTGAGAATTTCAAGTGGATTTTGGGAATCACCCAGTCTTACAGGTTTCCACCGTACAACAACCGTGCATACGGTGTTGTAGACGATACAGTAAAGCACCTCAGATTAATAAATTAAAAACTGAAACGAATGTGCCGACATTCGAATTGCTTTGAATTCGAAGCGTTGCTGAAGTGATAAAAGCCGTTCTAACAATGAGTCAAGTATCGCAGCCGAAGTCAAGAGGTATCAAGAAGTATCTGCGAGCAGCGCCAAAATCTCGAATTGCGTTGATATTGATTTTTGCTGGTTTTTTCGATTTATTTTTTTGAATGTCTCTATTTTTTGTTAATTTTTTCATATTTTGACTTTTCGGTAACAAATTTTTTTTAAAATATTTTACGTTAGTATAAATACTTTTGTCGCCTCTTTATTCGCATTAGTCGGTTAGTTTATAGTCAGCGAATTTGTGGTGATTTATTTTTTATCGAATTAAGTACAAAATGAAAGTATTTTTCGTTCTTGCTCTACTGATGGCTGCCGCGTCAGCGTTGCCACAGTTTGGTGGCTTCTATGGTGGAGGCCCTGGTTTCTATGGACGTCCTGGATTTGGTGGACCTGGTTTCGGCGGCGGTTTCGGTGGACCTGGATTCGGTGGACCAGGCTTCGGAGGAGGTGGTTTTGGTGGTCCAGGTTTTGGTGGTCCTGGTTTTGGTGGTCCTGGATTTGGTGGCGGCGGTTATTATCCAGGCTTTGGTGGCGGTGGTTTCAGACCTGGCCGTTTCGGTGGTGGTCGTCGTGGCGGTGGTGGTGGTGCAGCATCTGCATCTGCTTCAGCCTCGGCAAGTGCGGCAGGTGGTGGTGGTGGTGCAGCCTCAGCAGCAGCATCAGCTTCAGCGTCCTCATCAGGTGGTTTCTTTGGATAAAAGGAAATGCGTTGAATTAATTTTAAATTTAATTTTACATCTAAACTTTTTGCCAAATATATATTTTTTATATGGAAAATTGCTCTCTGAGCAACTTTAAAGCTTGATAAAGCGTTCTGTTAAATCATAAATCCACTTCACCAAATGTCAAAATGCTTAATTGCCTTTTCTAAATAATATAATTTATTTTTTAAATTAATGTACATATTTTTTATGTAAAAAGTTAAAAAATCCACAAAAAATCCAAAAAACACCAAAAAAAATCTTGTTGTCAATTTATGTTATAAAAAAAAAATTTATTATTGTTTTGATACTAAAAAAATCTTATTAAAAATAAACACAAAAAAAATATTAATAAGAATTCAAACTGGTTTATTTTATCTTTTAATTTAGATAATTTCTATCAGATTAATTGTTTGAAGCTCAGCGTTTTCATTCTCTGCCCAACTGCGCAGTCAGCTCAGCCAGGTTTACTCGTAGTTCAATGGTCTCTTCAATGCTAAGCTTGGGCCGGGCTTAGTGATCACACGTACGCCAAACAAAACATTACCACGCGGAAGAAGGTCTCGAATTTCAATTTACCCGTCAATCGACTGAAATCTTCGCATCTAATGTCTTTTGTAAGATGAGAGATGAGATGAGAATGTGATTGGCATTTTGTCAGGTTTCTCGGAAATAACAATGCACGTGGGAAATCCCAAATTCCATAAATTGTTAACTAAGGTCAGCAGAGAATAATGTTTATTTTAGATACACACAAATCTGTCTGCTGAATGAACGCACTGGGCACTTCAAATAGCAGAGGTCAAGTTTTTACAGTTAATATAAAAGTCGTTAATTATTTGATAATAAAATAAACAAATACAAATTATTTACTATATATACAGAAGCATATGACTTTCAGAATAATGAAAACAATCAAATAATATATCAACAAACTAAATCATAGTTTGTGGTTTAACCAAAGTTTTTAGTTTTTTGACTATAATATTGATAGAACTCCATTGATAGGTTTTTGGTAGAGTTCAGGTTTTCTTACTAAATCATCAAAGTCCTTTTTGCTAAGTATTCTTCCATGTATATTTTAATCATTTTCGAGACAATCAGAACTTAAAGTTCCCAATATATATTTTTATTACTGGTCATTAGGGTGCTCTCATAACTACAAGCAAAACTTGATAATATCATATCGTAAGTCCCAGCAATACTTTAAATACCTCAGAACAATTACAGAAACTAAATAAGCCTACTTTCGTCTGTCAAGGCCGCCTAAGTTCAGAGTCCTTATCATAACGTTTTAGCTACTGTTGAGTTAAAGAGTGACCCTATCATTTCTCGCGTATGACACCAACCTCATAACAGAGTTCGAAAGCCAAGTCTTACCATAATACCGTACCATAATACCAAACAATAGCTCGAGCCTACGGAGTTACAAAAGTTTAGCTAAAAAGGTTTTCACCGTCTTCAAGCATTAGTGAAGTGGGACCGGTTCGTATGAACTTTTCTGACGGATTTTATGGTAAGCGACAATAAATCATATCAACTGCGTTGGAAGAATTGTGTAGGTTAAGACTTTAAAAGCGTACGGGTGCTCAAATGGATGATATCAGCTCATAATCAGAATCGGTGGAGATATTTGGTGTAGGAAATCAAGAGTGGACTTTAGTGTCGAAGTTAAAGTTCAATTTAGTTAGGTTCACAGTTTTAAAATCAGAAAAGTTATTCACATTTTATTAGGTATCTCCAAATATCCATCACCGGGGGTTTTTGGTTACTGTCACTCACTTTTTTATATTCCATAAAATTTTTTCATACAATAGAAACAATATTTATTTATAAATTAAATAAATAAATTAAATAAATTATCTTCTTCATGAAGGAGATTTAGAAGAATTATCTTCTCTTTATTTGAGGAAAGTTGAAAAAAAACGCTTCCATAATCGAGCATCTGAAATTTATTTTCTTCACATTCTTGCCTACATATATGAATTTCAACACCTTCGTTATTAGATCTGTCACATTTGGAGGTAACTACATACATACAAGTCCGCTCTTGACATTATGAAATATTACTTTGACTACACTTTAAGGAGATAGAGAACAACACCCTACTTACGTCATTGCTGTAAACACGCTGTGTAAAATCAAGGAGTTCAACTTAGCCGCATTTTTTGTTCTGGATTGCTGATTGGATTTCTTCAGCAGTTCTATAGACTTAATGCTATATTCTCTTATGTTATTCCAAATGTGGTGTAACAAATTTAGGTTGTTATTTGTTTGCACTTCGTATGGGTAATATGATCCGTTTTCTGATCTTCTGTCTATCGTCAGCAAATCTTCGACATGATGACGTGTGGATTATTCACTGAATAGTGCATCTGATACAATACTGCCACCGCAGCTATGAATTACTTGCAATCTGTTGAAATTCCTTCGCATTTCATTTGGCATCAACTAAGTGAAGACAAATCGACTTTAAATGAAAATTTCAATTACTTCCCGAAAATTTCATCGTCACTAAAAAAAAAACTGCTCAAATTGTAGCAATTTTTTCTAACTGCAATTTACTTCCACATACCGCGTTCATTGGTGTTTCACATTCTTGTTCCTCGCTCCAGGCACATGCTGAGCATATCGATTTCATGGAAAAAATGTTTCATATGTTTGGAAGGAAAAATCTTAGAAAAAATGACGTGAATTGAGCATTGAAGTGAACTTCATTAGGTAGTCAAGCAATGAACTCCATTCTGTAACTGTTGGGACCCCCTCAGCAAAAATCGTCAGCATTTCTTTTTATGTCTAATTTGGACTTTTTTTAATTCATTTTTTTTTGGATTGAATAAAGTTTTTAGGATTTGAAATCATTGTTGAAAGTTTTTTGTTGATATGTCGATACACGCAGCCTGAATTCGATTCGAACTCAGTAAAAACAAAAGAAATTATCGACTGCTCTGCGAAGGCAATTAACTTTACAGCATTTGCATGAAATTTCAATGATTAAATTACAGGCGACTTACATAGGTCCTTAGACTTTCCAGAAGTCAATGAAAGCAGTCATGGTGGAAGCTCAACGTTTGTCCAAAGGAAATTAATTAAAGTTTTTTGAACTGAAGTTTTTTTTCTTACGAATGAATACACACATTTATATTTCTAATTTATTTTATATGTTATGACATACTTGAGTTTGGCTATTAGCCAAAATTTGATTAAGAAAAAATTTATTTCTATTTAAAATTTTATCATATGCCGAAGTGTTTTTACGGAATATAAATTCTCATTTTTCATAGCTATGAGCTTAGCAAATATATCAACTTAATTAGTTGACAGAGGGGTTTCGAACAGTAGTTAACTACAACAACAAAAATTCTTGATTTATAATATTCAAATTCATTGAATTTTTGGCTGACCATACAGCTGTTTCAAGTATTGCCAAATACCCATCATCAGTGGTATTGGAATTATTTCTTATAAATCAGTTAACAAAATGATGTGATATTCAAAACAGATATTTAAAGGATTGTAAACGGAATAAAAATCACTTTCACAATAAATTTTTGATTTGATTTGTTCAGGGTGGTAAGGTGCTTATAATTGTTTGAAATATGATTTATTGGTTCAAGAAAATATATAAATCGTTTTTGGTACTGTTAGGCAGCACTTTGACTTTTTATTGTTTTAAATTGAGCTTAAGTGCTTGCTTAAATGACGGGAAGTAATTAACTTCATGTTTGAAATGAATGCTACCATGTAGGGAGTTTCATATATGTGTATATATGTATACATATTTATACATAACATATACATTGTATTGTATATACATTATATTGTTATTATTAATATTACTAAAATAAATTGCGGTATCAAAACTTATCATATTCAAAAATTTATATTTTTTTACATCCAAAAAGTATGCAATAATTAAACGCATTTTGAAAATAAAATTTTAATGAATTGTGTGAAATAATTTGTTTAAAATGTAGGATATCAGTCTTATATGTATATAATATTAAGGACGGACAGACAAACATTTAATATATACAAAACTAGAGTACATACTTATTTATATATTTATATGTATAATATATTTTGCATATATTCGGAATAAAGCTATTATGTCTTCTGATCTATTTAGGTTGCAGTGCTTTGTGGGCTATAATAATAATAATGTATAAAAGTTCATTTAAAATTATTTGATCCAATAGTGAAGTTTGTGGAATGACCTAAATTTGCTTAAATTATTTATTTATACATATTCCAGACATTTGCATTAATCATGATATATCCATCATCATTATAACACAAAAAAACCAAAACATATAAATTTAAACAAAAACCAAACACTTTAATCTTTAACTTTACACATTATATTTAATTTATTATTTTTTACAAACAGCCCAAAACTTATTAATCCAAAACTTGAGTACCAGTCCAAAAATTATATGCTTCAATCGTCGTTGCGGACTTCAAGAGAAGGACGCGTTAATTGTGACACCCAGCGACATAATGAGCGAATATGGGTTAATAGGTAACGTGAGATTATATATTTAAGATTGAACTGATCCTGTGGTCCGTTGGGTATACGAATATAATTTCCCAAATAATCTAGTCGCATGAGTGTAAATGTGTCACGGCTTTCTCGTCTCAGTTCACGAACAAAATTAATCGATTTGCAATTTTTAGTTTTCTCCATGCCTAAAAAGAAAATATGAGCAACTTTAGCAATTAAGTATAGATCATATTATTAAATATTTTCACTTTTCAAAAAAAATTGAGTTTTAAATAAAATATATTATGTTAATGTTGTATGTAATGCTCTTGGTTTATTTTCTACTAAATGAACAACCCATGGACTAAAGACAAACGTGTGGCAAACTATCTTAACGATCCATAAAGTTTGCAATCTAAAAAAATCTATCCCTTTAAATAATTCTAACGATATAGAGTTTTTTCTACCACACTCTTTTCTTTAGAAAAAATATAATTCTTGCAAGTAGCGATGTACTGGGGACATGGGCTTATAACCAATAAGGTGGATATGGGCGACTGGAGATCTGGACGCCAACACAAATTAAAAAATTGATTCATTTAAATGGAAAGATTCTTAAAAATGGGAAGATTCATGAAAGAAATCTTGAGATCAAATGACCTCTCCAAGTTTCTACAATTTATGAAGTCTGTATTGTTCTTTAAGTCATAGCAAAAACATAATTTTAAGATATTTTTTGACCATTGAGTTTAAAGTATTTCCCTTTTTGTGTGCATCAGGTACAAAATAAATAGAGGACCTACCCTTAAAATATGTTCTATTGACTCACATTATTGGAGCAAAAACATAATAATAATAGTATATTATTATCATATGTATTCATATTGTTTAAAACATATACTTATGTTTTTTATATAAGCTTTATATGTAAGCCCCATACGATTTAGTAGTTAAAGTAGTTTAATAAAAATATTTATGAACTAATAAAACTAAATATATACTTTTAATTCTAGTCATACTTACTGACGAGAATAGGACAAAGTTTTTTTGCTTGATTTTGAGAGTTCACAATCCAAACACTATGATATGTATTCAATAATTGTTAGAATAGAGAGAATATGTGTTTATTTGAATACGTGGGTCTATTCGAGATGTCTTCAATAGAATTTACAATAATAAATTGTTAACATAATGTTTTGAGTCTGTGGTAACTGCTCTTCCAATAGACCAAATGTTTTCTTTATGCTTATTCTAATAGCAATTGAATAGTGAGTTCATATAAAAAACTACATTAGAATTTAATTGAATGATTTAAAAGATTTCACGTACCTCGTGCTACGCTTCACTCGCACTCTATATATTATAGGCTAGAAACTCTTAAGTCGCAAACTTAGAAACCTCATGCTTTAATTTTGGCTAATTTTGTGTACACTAGAACTAAAAACTTACTATTGTACAAAATTTTTTCTCTGTCAAATTAATTAATTTCATTAGAAAAAAATATTCAAAAACGTGATAAAAAATAACTAGGATATTTGATTGGAACAATTTTTATATAATATTATATAGATTGTTCATTTTTCGAATCATATATTTTTTATACTACAGTTTCATATTAAACAAATTACTTTAAACTCTTGTAAAAAACTCTGATCTCTTTATGAGAATGTCTCCATCCAATTTAAGCATGTTTGGGTATATACAATAGTTTCCATGGAACTAAATAAAGAATATGTGAACCTAACTGTGGTGAGTCTTATCGTAGTAATGCGTGTTTGATCATTAATCTGATTGTTACCTTGTATTGCAACCATTCGATTATCTAGGATATGTGTTGTTATAGGTATACCTTTGTATACAACTGATCTCTGGCCTGATTAATCAGGTTGTTATCTTCAATTGATACCATTTTACCATCCGAGTTTTTCGAGATCTCCACAGTTTGACTCTTCTCTTCTTATCAACTACTACTTTAAACAAACCTTCATAAAAGCACAGTTCAGAAGTTTTTCTTTTAATCTTTTATTCTTTTGTACCTCATGATAGTCGTTTTTAAGTTTTACTGAGTACCCGATTCAAAATTTCCTGATTTTTGAAAAAACTAATTAAAAACAAATAAGTGCTACTTATGCGCTCTTTCTTATTTTATTAGAACATTAGGAGATGTGCTATGCACTACACATGAAATTTTTGGTCATTATCATTATATAAATACTTATATTTCACCTTGCCGTCATCTTAAATTATTCCAAATATACACCCAGTTTTTGGTGAGGATCCAGTCTAATCCAAGATTGAGCGATTTTCGTCGGTTAATGATTATAAATCAATAGAAGTCATCAAGCTAAAAACGTATCCAAAGTTTAGATACAATCTCGCTCTGATATAATTACACCTTTTCCTAGAGACTGTGTTATGTTTCCAGTTCTAAGCTCGGAGATAAACAATTATAGTATGCAGCTCAGTTGCGCATAATATCCAGGGATCAATATGCGTATTTCAAGCAGCGTTTGTAAACTACAGGCTGGAATGATAAAACTTGCAATTCCTTTTACAACCACTTAGTTTAATGAGAATTTTTCTCATTTTCATTTTCACTCTCTCTACTGAATTTTTCAAAGGGTTTTCCAAATATGTTTAGTTGAGAGATTACCAATTCGGCGAAGAGTTTGTTCATTTCAAAAAAAAAAAATAAACGGGGTACTAGATCTCAACGAAACGGAGCACTGCGACCATGATATATGTAAATATTAATGTATATTTTTTTATCACCATCCGGGAAAAAACCGGCACTTTTTATGGGACTTTTTTAAATGGAACTATAGTGATATATATAGTGATATGTCATTTTCATTATGACAACAGCGGGTGATATTCTCTGAATTGTTAACACATGGCTGGAAAGTTAAATTAATACTTTCAACTTGTTAACAACAGTATCTTATGATATATTTATTTTTTAACTGCCTTTAGTTTTTTCAACATAAAACAAAAGTTATATTGAAAACTCAGAAAATTACAAGACTTTTTGCAAACAAAATTAACAAGCTTTTACTGCTTGAAGAGGCCTTTCAAACATACCTTAACTAACTTAAAGTGCCCCGAAGTCGTCTCGAACCTGTTTCAGTCGCTTGCTTTTATTCGCTTTATTCCAGTTCAACTTTCTCCAATTTTCAACTTCATTTCACCAGTGTATGATTCTTACTCTTCTTAAACTCATTTCTCCATTTCATACACATAATTTTTAAATTATTGTGCTTAACTTAGTAAGTTGACAAATTTTTACCGGAAAATTAACAAGTAAACTGCAAAATTCTACTAAAACTTGCTCCTTGCCTAAATGCAGAAAGTCAACAGGATGCTAAGGGTAAGTTGCGTAGGAAAATGAATAAGAAAAAAGTTTGAAAAATAATAAAAAGTAATAAATAAAATAAAATGAAATGAAATAATGTGAAGAAAATGGTGAAGGAAATTCAAACGAAAATTAAGTTAAAAAGTCTAAAAGTATGCAATGCAAAGCAATCGTAGTGCAAAGTATGTGCCGGAGAAGGAGCGAGTGTGTACGTGCGCTTAACGTGATAAAACGACATGAGTTTGCTTGTTCAACAGCAACAATGAAAGTACCCACCACACGGTACCGCACAAAACCGTACGACACCGTACGGCACCACACTGTGCCACACAGAATACTTAACAGGCAAAATGTAGTTAACAATGTAAAAAACGAACGGCAACAGCTGGCGGCCGCTTGCAGCGTCCTGCTTGCCTGCTTGCCTATATGCACGCTAGGAAATGGCCCCGGCAAGTGTGCTGCCTGTTTCCCCACAATCCAGTAGCAGCAATTCAGTGCTGCTGCGCTGTCGTTGGAGTAGCTGCACTTCACGTTGTTCTTTGGTAACTTCTTTTCATTTAAAAAAGAACAGCTTTTCTTCCTGTTTTCAGTCCTTGTTTCATTTCCTTTTTTATTTTTTATTTTTGATTTTGTAACAAGGAAACGACATTTTTGTTTTGAATTTTTTCGTTTTCCATTTCTTTTTGTTACTGTTTTTGTTTTTGCTTTTGCCTTTCCGCCTTAGTGCGTTAATACTTTTTACTTATGGTGCGGTTTGCTAAAGTAAATGGAGCGCATAACTTTTTTGCGACGTATTTCATATTTAATTAATTTTCAAGGAGTTCATAAATTAACACAGTTTGCGGTATATCAGGATAAATTAAAATCATACACAGGCACTGGTGTTCTGTGGCTTCTGAGCCAGCAGAAGCGGTTCCAAGAGGTCTAACTCAGTGGCAAAATTCTCTGAATCTGAAATCAAAGAGGTGTGTTAACAACACAGGTATGTTATTCGTCCTAAATTCATTACATAAAGCAAAGCAAATAGATCAAGGACATCGGGTAAACGAAGAGTAGCTACTCTTTACCTACAAAATTCGTTGTTTTTAAGAAATAATTTCTTAATAATTGGAATATTGTTAACTTACTAATGACTTCAAAAAAATTTAAGAATTTTATTTATATATTGTATATATTTTATATATATAATCATGATCTAACATTTCGTTTGTTAAAAATCCAAAAAGTCCAAAGTTTTAAAAAGTAAAAAGTATTAACTTTCAAATGATATAAGCCGTAATTTTTTCTTTCAGAGTTGTTAAAGAACAACATTAAGCCTTGTTTGTTGTGTTGTGTATAATATGATATATAACAATTGTAAAAACTAAAAATTAATTACATTAAATAAGAGAAAAAAAATGAATATTAAAAGGACAATAGTAGTCATTTTTATCTTATATATTGTAATTAATAATTTTTGTAATAATTATATATAAGTTATATTTATATAATAATTAATTTGATTTAGTTTGAATTTGGCTGCACTGAAATTTAAGACTTAAAACTTTTTGCGAGTAAAACAGAACTCTGAAGATTTTAAGAGTATTGTTGCTGCTTCACATGCTTTCTTTCGTAATTTGCGAGTATTTTTTTGCTACTCTTAAAGAAAAAATTGCAGCTATATATAAAAGGATAAATGATTCATATGAATCCTAACAATTCACGACATTTAAGCGACTATTCATTTAGCTACAGCTGTTTTAGTGACATTAAGTTTTACACTTTCAGAACAATGGATATATAGCAATGTCTTTCCTCATTGCTTTTTGATGGGAAAGAGTACCGTGACAATAAAAGCTGGCATTGATATGCACAACCCGAATTCTGCTCTATCGATACAAATGACACAAAAGTAATTTGCGGACTTTAAACGCGGCTCACAAAAAGTGATGAACCCACTCAGTAGGATTGATGATACTGGAATAGATCAAAAAAGTTCAAGAACTGTAAAGGGAAGTTTCAGGAGGCAGGATATAGTTGGCACCTTAAAAATAAAAAAAAAAAAAAGGAACATGCCGGCTTTATTTTCAAAAACATTTGTCTTTTCTATGAGTAAAATTGTTTCTAAATAGGTGTTGCGTTTACTGAGAGTTGGCCATCGGTATGAGAGTTGTATCGGTATTTAACAATGGACAAAACTTGGACACAACTTAATATCAAAGTCTAATGGCCAGTCAACTGAGTGGACCACATCCGTCGGATCTCACTCAAGGTGGTCAGCTGTCAGTATTTTTTAATGTGTTTGAAAATTTATTTATCTACTATTAAACCATTAATGGCCAAATAGATGTATTTAAAAAGGAAATCCCGAAATAACGATTTTATATAAAGAAGAAAAAGAGCCTCTTCCACCAAGATAATGCGATGTGTCAGAAGTCTTTGGTTATCATGCCTAGATTGTACGAATTACACTTAGAATTGTTTGCGTAATATATTCAAACTTAGTTCCTAGCGATTTTATCTGTTCGTAGATCGTAAAAGAATGCTCCAAGGAAAGTGGTTGGCTACCATGAAAAAGTTGTTTCGGAAAGCGATGCTTATTTATAACCAAGGATGAGGGACATCAAACTGCCAAAGAGGCACTGAAATAATTATATTTTTTTTGAAGGACACTACGCTGATGAATACATTCAAATTTTGCTATATAGTTGTTTTTCTTTTTATTAGTTATCGTGTACGAACTTATCAAACAATATGTTAATATTAAATCTGATATTGATTACGTGCTTTCATATTAAGTCTACTAAAAATTTATTAAAATCAGTTGGTTGATGCACCTTCGACAATAAAATAGATCATATGTATCGTATACAACCCTTATAATTAGTTATTTATTAAAATTATAATTCAGTTTATGCACCTAAAATTGTCCACTATTTGTTTACTAAACAAATTCAAGTTAATAAGAATTGAGAATTACAACTTGATTTGTAAAGTATTTTTAATTTTTATTGCTTATAAATTTTGAACGCAAGTTAGCTGAGGAGCAGAAGATCATTAATTTCATTAAGTCTTTCACCTAGGCCGTTCTTAAATGATAGGTGAATAAATTTATGGAACTCTCAAATCAACCTAGTGTAAGTCATGTTCTTAGTCTTCAATGACATAAGCAATTTTCTTTCTTATTATGTCGTTTCTTAATTCTAACCTAAACACAAATGTCATTCATCTTGTTTTTTGTTTTTTTTATTTTTGTATTTTAGAACTGTTTTAACTGTAGTAGAACTTTCTACTACATTTTTCTTCGTCCAGTTGTTTTTTTATTGTTGTTATTTTTGTTGTTATTTTTGTTGTTGTTTTTGTTGTTGTTATTTCGTTGTTTGTTTGTCGTGCATTTGCAGTTGATTTTCATTTAAGCAACGTTAACCATGTCGGCTGTGTTATTGATGACTTAATTCTGGTTGAATTATTAACACCACATAAGCGTTACGTGCACAAGATTCTAGCTCACACTAACACGATCATATACAAACATACACACACACATAGTTACATTCACGCATTAACACAAACACATATTAAAACGTATTTTCTGCATTTTTTATAGTTGTTTTGCTGTGTTTTCTTGGGCACGTTTTCATGAGAGTACGTGTGAGCCAAGCATCAAGATGGCGAAATATGTTGCTGTGTATGTGTGCTTGCTCGTGTTAGTGTATTGGTACGTGGTTAATAAATAAACTAAGTTAATATTACAAACACTGCGTTACGGTAAAAAGGCGCTTCGGCATTATTAAAATAAACCAACAACGCAACGAAACGTTGCAGGGCGAATACAGGGAAATTATTTAAAGCAAACGTGTTGGTGCCCTGCGTATGAAAACAAATTGGTTTAGTAAGGAAAATAAATGGATTTCAGTTGAAGGAGATTTACTCGCAAATATCATTAAAAGTCTTGGAAGGAATGCGATGCACTGCATTATCATTTTTAGAGTTAACATTTTCAGTTGATGTAAACTCAAAGTCTAAATCATGACGCAGAAGTGTGTCCGATTGAGAAGTCGAAATAATAATTAATTACTTCATATCATCAAAGTCCATTTCAAATCAGTTTCATTATCGTAACCAACGCAATCACATTCTAATACCAAATTTCCTTAATTTCGTAAAAATGAAATTAAGTTAATTTCAAAAGTGTTCATACTGCTCCAAATTAAGGAAATCATATGTTTTTTGTTTACATTTTGAATGTTAAAAATTATATGCTCCAAACATCATTTGTATCTGGGAAATTTTAAAAGTTGATTATTATAATTATAAAGTATAGCATTCAGTAGTTTTATTAACTTTAGTGGATTGCAGTTGAGTGAATTTTATTTTTATTTTAAATAAATAACAGTTACAGTTTCTTTTTTTATACTCAAAATTTAAAAATTTCCACAACTTTTAAAATATTTCCCGATTTTATTGATGTCAACTGTCATTGACATTTATTTAAAAAAAATGTCCATTTCTCGTTATCTCAGTTTCATATTTTACTTAAAATTTATGTTACGCATAGTTGCATTTGAAATATCCTTTAACTTCAGTCTTCGTTTCAACGAAATTAAATTCATTTTGCTTAATTTCCATTCTAACCTCAAAAGTGAATTTTGTATGCAAAAAAAAACTTAATTTCGCCGAAGATGAAATTAAGATTTTTGCGAAATTGAGGTGTGTCTAAACATAGTATAACTCTTTAGCAAATATATTTTTTTTGAATATATTATTGAAATTATAAATTATGCTGAAATGCATAAAAGTGAAAAATTGGAAAATTATCCACAGCTTTGCTGAATAATTTAAACGTACAACAGAAATTCGAAAATAAATTAAATTTAAAAATTGCATAAATTGTCTAAAGTCGCTGCTACAACACTAAAGAGAGTAGAGGATACATTTATTTTAGCATACATATGTGTTATGCCGGAGGATGAAATGAACAGCATTCCCTTATCTCTTTTAAGTTACTCCTGTCGGTGGCATTGCTGCTGCTGCTGCTGCTACTTCCGGGTGCTGAAATGGAAATTTTTTGGTGAATGCGTTTGCAAATGACGTTTGTATTGTGACACCATTTTGAACATTTATAACAAAAAAAATGTATATATATATATATATATATTTGAAAGGAATAAAATAAAATTTAACAACAGCAGCAACCAACAATAATAACTACAACAGCATATCCAGCAACAATATGAACAACAACAGCAGCAGCAACAACAACAACAATAAAAAAAACAAACGTTTTTCAAATGCAAATGTTGGCTAAGTCAAGAAAATCTTCTGCCGTAGACAGAATGAGAATTTCCACTACAACAACAACAACAAGAAGGAGAACAAGAACAACTGCTATGAACAACAAATCTATGAAAAAGTTAAGAATCCATCTTAGCATAGAAAATCTCTCCTTAGAACATGAAATTTGTTCAAAACTTTAAAATTTCATATACAGAAGTTGAGGCGAAAAATGCGGCATTAATAATGAAAACTCTTATATTCCACTTGAGCACTACTTCCGTTTCCGCCACAAGTGTGGAAATTTGCTAAACATTAATTTGGTTTTATTTTCAGAATTAACAAAAAATATAAATTTAAATTTTAAACGTTTTTCATTTTTATTTGAAATTTTATTTTAAATAAATAACTAAAAATAATAATAAATAAATTGACTAACATAATAATTAAACTTAGAATTGGCATAGATCTCTGTTTGGCTTGTCACTTTGGTTGAGTTGGATACACACTATTATTGTCCTTTTTGATTTTTACTTTACCCAAGACTTGCAGCATACGTACATAGACCAATTTGCGTACATTTATGGCCCATAAAAAATCCATGTGATTAAATGACTTCTGCGACACTAGATACTTGCCGATTGGTCGGCCTAAATCTTTATACATTTCTTCTACATCCTCTGGATGACATAGTAAATCGTTACTAGAATAATATACATAAGTAGGTACTGTGACTAGACTAAGATTATAGCGCGGTGGTATATGCTCCCTATAGAGTGCTAGATTTTTATTTGTACTGTAGCTATATGGAGCAAAACGGCCGCTTTTGATTATTTGTATAAAATGTTTAACTTGTTTAGCTGCCACACCAGCAGGATAATGACCCAATATTACTGGAAACATTTTCTATATATATAAAGCAAATGTTAAAATATATTTCTATTATGTTTATTATTTATTTTTTGTTTTTATACATACTCTGTTAAATTCATCCCAATTTCGTCCAACAATGCCAAATACAGCTTCAATGCATAACCGCTCAGTTTCTTCAGTCATTCGGCAGAGGAACTGAAACTCTCTGTTAAACATTTCTGTTACTGAACTGCCGACCAAGCTCTATAATTTAAACATTTTCCCAGTGTTTTTTTTAATTATAGGAATATCATATAAAATAAAGTGTAATCAAAACAAATACTTCTAATAATAATTTTAAATACTATATAATATATATATATATATCACACATTAAATAATACATGTATAATTTAATATATGGTATATATTATTTATTTTATTTATTCATACATAAATATTTTAATATAATATATGTATTATATATTATATTACAATACTTATTTACACATAAATATTATTATATTTATTTATTATAATATAATTTATATATATTTATTAAATATGTGATTAAGTGGAAGATATGAATGTCATGAAATATATACAAAATACAAATAAATCACTTTAAATACAAATATAAAAAAATTTAAAAATTTTAGAACTCTACACAGAAAACTACACTAGACTAATAGATCAGTGTAAAGTTAAATAGAGTATAATAAAAATACTCATGGATAACGATGATTCCTTTATATAAATTTGTGGAGAATAAAGAAAAGACTTTCCAAAAGATTTTCTGAGGTTATATTGTTCACATAACTTAATACTAATACAATATTAATATTAATGTATTCAAATAATAAACGATTCTTATAAAGTACTTACATTAAAATATATATTAATGGCTCTTATGTAGGGATGTTCATCAGTTTCTCTCACATATACTGCTGGTGCCATGGCTTGCATCATGATTACTTTCTTATTAAATTCAGGTCGCATGGAACACATAACAAAAAATGCCGTACAGCCCTTAATTATGGAAGAGAATTATATACATATATGTATATAAAACAGTGAGAAATTTGTATTTTGACTTACTTGAGAATGTCCACCGTATTGGATTTTCTTGAAACCAGTAGCATTGAGCACATAATCAATCATAGCTGGCAGATCATACATACCAATTTCATGCCAACTGAAATCCCAAAATTTGTCACTGTCAGGATCAAGGGATGTGTGATTACGTGAGTATCGATTTCCGCGTGCATTTCCCAACCAAACGTCATAATTGTAGTTTGAAAGTAAATATGCTAAAATATTTAACTAAACTTATAATTAAAATTATTAACTAAATTTAATGCTATAATCGTTGGTATAAGGGCTAAATCAAGATAGGCTCAAAATGTTACTTATATAGTTAATTTCGCATTGTTTCAACTAATGACGGTTCTAGGTAACACATAATTAATAGCAGTTAAAGAAATTAGTGCTATTACTGTACTTTGGAGAAATACCTATAGTACTTTAAGTATATTGTTATCTAGAAATAAAAGTCACATAAAGCTTTGGCAAAACGGAAAAATCTAAGCACAAATATGAAAGAGGAGATATGTCACATACTACGCAAACCACATGATTAGCATTGTCATGAAATTTTCAAGATACCCGGTAAAATGATCGATCGTAAATATTTTGAAGATTTGGAGCAAACTTATAAATCTTGTAAAGAGTTAATACAAATAGTGCTCGAAGAAAAAACTGAACAACTCTTATAAAAACGTGATACTCCTGGTAGGAATATAAGTTCTTGTAAGATCAGAAGACACATCTGTTACAAATTGGTAATAATTTCTATCAGTCAACTATTTTTGCTTAAGTGGAAAATTTTTTTTTTATTATTATTTTTATTTATTATTTTATTTTACTATATTTTTTTTTATAATTTTTTTAATATTTTCTTTCACATTTTTTTTTAATATTTCCTTTTTATTATTTTTTAATAAAAAGGTTTCGAAAAGTAGTAAATTACAACAACAAAAGTTTTTTTGATATTAATTTAATTAATTGAAATTTTGGCTGACCATTTAGCTGTTTAGAGTATTGCAAAATATCTAACATCAGTGGTCTTGGAATTATTTCTTGTATTTAATTATTTGTAAATAGTTTTTTGAGACTACAAGTACCAGGGATTATACTCGTACCCTGCCAAACTGAGCCAAAGCCGTACTTGATTTTATTTTATGTTCGCACATTTTTCTGGAGTTTTGTTGAATTTCAAAAAGTTATTTACAAATAATTAAATACAAGAACTATTTTCAAGACCACTGACCACATGATGGTATTTGGTATTTGGCAATAAAAATTCAATTAATTAAAATAATATAAAATGAATTCTTGGCAAGAAAAAATTAACATTAAAAATGATTTTTTTGTTGTTGTAGTTTACTACTGTTCGAAAAACCTCTTTATAGATTCTTTATTTTAAAAATTTTATTCATATTCTATTTAAGATAATAATAGAGAAAACGCAACAACAATATTAACTTACCGTCTGAACTAATGGGTTATATATTCTAACTTATGAATATAAAGGGCATAAAGGCTCTTTACTATTTAAATTCTGTATTTCAGAGCCATTAACTACTGTTCGTGTTAAGTTTCTTGAGTTTTGGTAACCTTAACTGTTTTGCAATTAATTATAATATGTTTTCTTAGTTGCAGTCCCCTATGTATATCTTTTCTAAAACACATCTATGTACTTTAATTTGAATTTTCTACTGTTAGAAAATGAAATTCACTTATTTATAATTCAATAATTTTACTTATATCCTATTTGCGTACTTCATGTGAGTAAACAAATTTATGCAATTATCTAAATGAATAAACTTGACCTCACCCAACCGTGAATGGCTCCAATGGAGACCATAATTTGATGTTTCGGATGTTGTCAACTTTAAATTAAATGATTTTTAATGCGACTTAATTACATGCAGGCTATAAATCATCCTTGAAAGACAACTAGGAAAGTTCGCTTTGTAGTTTGGAATACAATGCAAGGACAAATATGGCAAACCATTCTACAAACACACAGACATCTATCCGTCCATCCAAGGCGAGAAGAATGACACACAAAATATTCACACCTAAACGAGCAATGCAGTTTGTATTTATGTAAAGGCAGTCGCTTCACTGCATTTTATGCTACAAGTCCTCTTACAACTACAGCCACAATGCAGGCTGTGAGATGTGTGAATATTAGACGAACACTTACCCAAACTGATATTTGGACCCATTATAAGAAAGCCGGCCGAGCTGTCAACAAGTCCATGCTGCAAGAAAAACGGCTGAGCGCCTTGTTTGCGCAAACGATGCATGGTCAATATGTAGCCATCTTCGGTGGTGACGTGATGTACTTCCGCCTGGTAGCCATATTTAGTAATTAATTTATCCTGCAGATGAAAGATAAATGCTGTAGCGTATTTAATAGGCAAGCAAAGTAAATTGCAATTTTGTTCATTTTATTCTGAATAGTTTAATTTGAAGCTGACATTAGCAAGTGTTTTGGGTCACTCGGAGATACGGCGGAAGCTTGTTAATTTGCATAGCAATGCAAAAAAGCAAATAAATTGTTAATTGTATTGATAATTGTAAATTGATTGTATTTAAGATTAGTTCTGATTTAAATATGTCTTCGTCTTGTAGGTAGTATATAACAGCATTAATGGATATCTTGAAAATATTAGAAGAGGCTGGCTTACCACAGTTAAACTTAAGTGATGTATTAGATTTTAGAAATATTAGGAAAGTCTAGCTTACCACAGTTAAACTGGAGTCTTCTTTGATGCTTTTGCGCTGTGCCTTCTCTTCTGGTGTTTCATCTTCAACACTTTCGTCATCTTCCTCATCATCGATGAGTAGTTGCGCCTGTGACAGTGTCAACCGTGAAATTATGTAAAGTAATAGCAGTAATACTATAGCCCCAAAACTAAATGGACGCATCTGACATTAATTTTTGTTTAGATAAGATCACTAATGGAAATTTAACAAAATCCAATTAAATATTAAAAAGTGCAATAAAAAACTTTCTTTCGCCACTATCGACACTTTAAATGCGATTTTTGATAATTTTTTTTTTTTGTTTTGAATAAATTTTTGAATTGATATTTTATTTTTTTTTGTTTTGACTTTGCTTTCTATTTTTTTTTTTGTTTCGTTTCCTTCTTTGAATTTTAGTTTTTTCGTAATATTTTCAAATTTTTTTCAAAATATTTTCGAACAATAATTTGAGTAAACACATGAACTTGAAAAAAATTTCGTATTGTTTGCTAGCGTTTCGAAGTTGATTTTGCACCGTTTTCAACCCAAAACCTCTTTTTTCGGGAATTTTGTGGTAAAAGTTTTGTAGCACTCACTTTACCTCAAGTGCGGCCTTTCTGGTATTGCGACCACATTTATAACAAAAATTCCGCTGCAAATTATGTGTTTTACTTTATTTTTAATTTTTTTTGGTGTATAACTGCTTGTTTTACATGATCTTATAAAATAAAAATTAATTTATTTTGAATTTTTAAAATTATTGCCATCAGAAAATTTCGCATTTATGTTGAACGGATGGATATCTTCTTCCGATCACTTTTTGCTTGCGTCGTTTGGATTTCGAATTAGGAAAAAAGTTGCATTAAATTAACGAAATTTGGTTCAATATTTTGGGCTCGTCTTGAATGAAAGTGAAAATTTTTACGATCACCGATCACACCGATCACAGTTGATTTCGAACTTGGCTGGGCTCCGCTTCTCGGCAACGTTTCGCGTACTTTACTCGATCGATTTTAAATGGCTTCTGACGCAGTGTTGGCGGCGGTAGCATTTTTGGTTTATGAAATGCATTTCGATAATACCGAAAAATGTTGTAAAAAATTCCGAAAACCAAAAAAAAAAATAATTACAAAAAAAAAGATCAAAAAAAAGTTTCCGCTTTTTTGACGAAATAAAAAAATAAAAACAACGACAAGTGACAAGTCAAAACAACAATAAAACAAAAATAGTTTTTATTTTTTTTTTTTTTGGTTTTAAAACATAAATATTATTTATTTTTCTCTTTTGATTTCGATATTGTTTTTGTTTTTGTTTTGTTAATATTAAGCGTTAAATTGGCAGTTAACACTTCCCAATTAATGTGCACGCTACAAAAAGCTGCTGGGGCATTTCTGCACACTACACTTTAAAAATTTATTATATATCCGGCATATATCATGCTTTATAAGCTTAGAAATACTGAACTTAATCAAATTTGATTTATAAATTTCAATTAATTATTTTCGCCTCAAAAAAGAGTTCTTAAATAAATATAAATATATATTCTATGAAACAATGGTATTATTTCTATTATAACATAAAATGTGATCATATATTTGATAAAATGAATTTATACATATATGACATATATATGTATATATTTATATACCAAATCCAAACACCAGCTATATATTATTATTGATATCATTGTTAATATAACATAAAATGTGAAGATATATTTGATAAAAGTAATATACATATGTATATACATATATACAAAACCTAAACACCAGCTATGTAAGTTATTTTAACTATTGCGAATTATTGTGTTTTAAATTAAATTTTAAAATAATTTTGAATATAAACAAATAATATATAAAAAATAATATATACATATATATAAAGCGGAAATACCAGCTATATAAATTATCTTCATTTGTGAATTGTTGTCCTTTAAAATTAAATTTTAAATTAATATTTAATTTAAACAAATAATATATAAAAAATAATATATACATATATATAAAGCCTAAATATCAGCTATCTTAACTATTATAAATTGTTGTGTTTTAAATTAAATTTTAAAATTATTTTTAAATTAAACAAATAATGTATAAAAAATAATATATACATATTATTACATATTATTATATAAATTATCTTAACTATTTCGAATTATTGTGTTTTAAATTAAGTTTTAAAATAATTTTTAATTTAAACAAATAATATATAAAAAATAATATATATATATATAAAGCCTAAATACCAGCTATCTTAACTATTGTAAATTGTTGTGTTTTAAATTAGGTTTTAAAATAATTTTAAATTTAAACAAATAATTAATTGCGAATATTTCTGCATTTTGCTATAGATCGCTTAAGTCGCGCTAAGCTGTTTAAACGTTTAAACAGTTTTGGTTAATAGTTAAGGAAATTTATATAACCGGAGTTTATGCATTAGTTCTATAAACAACACAAGTGCAATTGTTTTGTGCGAAAGAAGAGCAAAAAATAACAAAACTTCACATTAGAATAACACCAATAATATATGGTATGTACGTTGGCTTTATTTATTAACAGAAAAGTCCACGGTTAAAATTGTATGGGGCTTCATTCCTGAAATTTGCAATCCAAAAATATGTACGAATAATTAAATCAATAGATATTTTATAACAGCGTTATGGTCACCCCAAAAATTTACTAGATAAAAAACTAAATTTTTAAATAAAATATTTTATAATTATTATCTCCTTTATTTTTTTTTTTTTTTTGTCATAGAACATAAATATTTTAATTAAAATATGTTATGAGAAATTTTTTATCATTATTTAGATAATATGCATTTACTATTAAACACAATTATAAACGTTTTCTCAGCTGTATTCACTATTCATATATATAATATATTTAACATATCAACCTCCTTCACAAAATGGCTTTTTAAAACTATCTACTTATATTGGATACTTTTAATTATTTTTAAAAATCTGTACATAACTACATTTGTTAAAATTTTAATTTAGATGTTTATTTTAGTACATACATAATCATATATTTTTAAATTTTAAATTAAATTTAGTATTTTTTAATTTAGTATTTTCAAATTTAGTGTTTTTACATTACGTATTCTTAAATTGGCTATTTTTAAAATTAGTATTTTTAAAATAAGTATTTTTAAAATTAGTATTTTCAAATTTAATATTTTTAGTTTGATATTTTTAAATTAAGTACCTTTAAATATAGTATTTTTGAATTTAATACTTTTAAATTTAGTATTTTTAAAGTTAGCATTTTTAAATTTACTCTTAAAGACCAACGATTGATTTTGTACAAGGTGCTGTAGATGTTTTATTTCTTGAACATGATATAGTGAACAGTCGCTATAGATCTTGTATAAATATCGGCTTGAGTTCTAATAATTAAGGAGATATTATTCGGTGGATATATCTTGTTGCGATATATCTTGTACGCCATGTCTTTATATGTAATGTTCACTACTCCAGACTTTTATATAAGTGAAAGTGAAAATTGTTTTTTGTGGAATACTTTGTTTTACTGCTCCATTTTATCAATTGTGTTTATCTCTTTATGTTTATATCTATAATAAATATTCGTATTTTTAAAATATGTAAAATTCAAGATATTGGTTTTGAAGGATGTGCAATTTCTGCATAATACTTTATCGTTTCGCAGTAAGCTTCAAGACAGCAAATCATTTATTGCATCATCAACATATATCAAAAACTTCATATTGAAGCCTACAAACCAAATCCGTCACTTGGGTATTCAATATATAAAGCGATTGGAAGTGGTGCAAATAGGCACCCTTGTTCAATCCCGTGAGGTGTTTGAGAAGGGTTAGACATTTCTATTTAAATCTAAAAAATTGTTCATTTGTTCTATCTTAATCTAAATTTTATTAATTGTTTGTTTGTAAATGACGGTAATTGCATTTGTTATGGTATTCTATTGATGCAAATTATAAATCTATTTATATTATCGAACGGAACTTGTAGATTTGCAAAAACTCCATACACTTGTCTTGTGTTCAATCACTGTTGAGTTATAAATGTTATCAGCCATGAAGTACTTCTTAAAAAGTTAAGACTGTTACGAAACTTCGTTAGCCTATGGGACATCTGTATATTAATAGACCAAATGATATGATTGGTTATATACCGGACGTAATCGCAAAAAAAATTAAGGTCAAGCGGTGCAGAAGTAGATACTGTGTTTTTCAACAACATGCTCTTAGAGTAGAACATATACATTGAAAAAGTGTAAATATGTCTCAATGCAGAGGAAGATATTTAGTTAGAACTTTTCTCTCAGATGTGTTCTTATTATACAAATAAAAACAGTCTCATTTTTCAAATTGAATTTCTATTTTATGAAACAAAGAAAAATTTTTGTTAAAACTGTAATATTAATAAATAAACACAACTCGTATATTGTGGACACTTTAAGTATATTTATAAATTCTATATAAATTTTTTTTACGTGTGTTCTATCCCTACGAAATCTAGAAAATCAAAATGGGTCATATCTTACTTTATGTACGAATGGCTGCGCTAAGTAGTTTGAGAAGGCTTAATACTTTTTTTGCTCTACGCGGAACTAAATCAAACGGTCTCTTAGAAATGAGAGAGGACCTCAGCCATGAGACTGTGAGAGACATCTGGTCTAGATCTTATTACAGATTTTATAATCAGGGTGTGAAGATGTTAGAAGCTTAGTATTTGAGTTTTTAAAGTTATCAAAGCTAGGAGTGAGAACGTACAAACTTTAATTAAGTGCGATGATGGGGACTTACAAAAGATTAGAACTGCTTAGGAGTATACTGTGTGGAGTTAATTACGGAATGCACAAGGGAATTATGGAGGGAGCGATCCATTTCATTGAAGTAAAGACCAAGGAATTGGGGAGACCTATGTAACAAAACTTCGAGAAGATCAATGGAAAGTTCTTTGTCGTGCAGAATATCACGCGGATAGGTTGTGTAGACGAGGTAGATATCAGCGCGCCAAGATAAAAGAGATTAAGAGTTATAACAAATACAATACATATCAAATATTACAATTTTTACACAATATGACGTACGACACACTGGGTGTTTTTTGACTACATAGGATTTTCGTAGACGCTCTTTTTTTTTGAAAATATTTAAAATAAATTTTCCTTTCATTGATTTTTTTATTTTAGTAA